CGTGAATTCCTAAAGTTATCCGGACTGATTATGTAATTATTCAATCATATATATTCGTAATGCACTACTCGTAAGGTTGCTGAAAATTCTTCGATAGCCTACGACCGGTTTCGCCCCTCTCGGGGCTCATCAGGTAGGCGCACTCCCCGGGTTTCCGTCAACCTTATGTTCTACCTTATGAATATACACGTATCGCGATATCTCGAATATTGTAGCGACTGAAGCATGAGGCGGCCTGGTGCAGCATATTCAGTTGCCTGGAAACATCACAAACTAGAGATTCAGCTGGGTTCCAGGTGAAACCAATTTTGTTTGCTAATGGGTGTATTTCGCTAATATTCAGTCATCTGTTTTGGATTCCCAAACCATAGAGGTTACACGTACTGAAAGACTGGCTTTTGGCGTGCCAGTGCAACTTTGTTGTATCCATTCTATCAGTCTTTACTGACGACACATTTACAAATTCTGTAGCATCACTCTAATCTAAAGTTCCCATAACACGGCCATCAGAAACTGACCACTCATATAAAAGGGACAGATGTCGGCGCTCTTTTCGTGTTCATACCATGGTTGTCATGGGTTCATTTTCCACTAGAAGGAGCTGGATGAAATTTAAGTTAAGATCACAAAGCCAACAATAAGACCATAAAGCTGCAACCGTAATATCCTAGATCGTAGGCCCAACCATAGTTCACCGTTTTCGGAAGGGTCAGCCAGGATACCATTTTGAGCAATAGGTCTTCGGTCATGAGCCGCTGATCCGCGCTTGGACAGGATGTCATGGTAATCAGACTGCTAATCAGCCGCTCGTAGCCGGACGGTTAAGCTCTCCCTGGAGACTACAGATGTGAAGTTCCAGGACTTTCGTGAGATGTGCGATGTTGGAGATTCATCGTAAGGATGAAAGGACTGTATTCCTTCGCTTACAGGACAAAATCTGTTTTGCAATCACCCCTATTCTCTGACATCAATAAGATGTTTTGTCATGTTTTTAGAAAATAATGCGACGATTAGAGACGAAATCAGTTTGAAAATCAGTTTGCTTCGTCACCCGCTTACAAGTTCAAATAGAATGTAAAATTGATGGAAATTCAGTAAGCTGCATAAAATGCTCATGAGCCAAAGTCTCCCTCAAAAAGACTTCACTCCCATAGACAGTCCGCCTACTCTAAGATAATGTACGATCCCTTGAGTACACGGCAACCGATTCCATTTATTTCCGTTTTCCTGTTATTTTTCGAGGATAGACCAGTGTAACAGACTTTTATTTTTTTAATCTCTCCGGGGTTCATAATTACAGAATTGCAAGTTGCTACTTCTCTTTATCAGAATTAGAAGTTATCTGATCCGCATCTAGTGCTATTCTGTTTTGCTTAAGCCCAACAGTTAAACTGAACTTCTGTGTGATATTTCGAAATTATGCACAGCTGCAGCTGTAACGCGGAAATGGTGATTTATTCACTGCGTGGTTTTGAAAAAAATTTGCACTTTGTTTTCCCAATCTCCCAGCATTGCACAGTGGACAGCGCGAGGCGCAAGTATAACGAGATTTTTCATACTACTCACTAACAAAGAGTAGATAAAAAGGGATAGCCCTAGACTGGACGTAGCGGGCGGTGACCAAGAGCACTAATGCGGGGACAGCTCGGGAACCAAACATGGATTCATGAGTCCCTGTTATCTTTGACTACGCTTCCCGAACCCCTAATTGAATTTTTTTCAACTAGAATTTCACTAGGGGACAAGTAAACTGTACACAGAATTGTGTATGCGCACGTTTATTTCCAAACTGATGGGAACTGTCAAGTGGATGAATAATCACACCTGATGGTATATCCATAAGAGAACAGACGCACAGGTTTCTCAGTAGACACCAGTAAAAAGCTGAAGACCTAAGATGCTATACAGATCAATATTAATCGGTCTAAAATGAAATATTTGCCGAAGAACGCAGCATCTTCATTGACTCTCCAGCCTTCATATGAGAGAAGCTGAATGGACAACAACGGCACGTGCTTATTACCTACTCCTCCTTAAATCCTTTAGACCGGCCAGAGCCATGCATTCACAACTTCGCTTGATGCCATGCGTGATAGCACGTTATTGAAAGCGATGGTCTCAAGTTGAAACTTGTGTTCCACGCAGCAACCTTATGAGTACTACATTACAAATTTAGAATCCATCCTTATTTTTCTTCGAAAAAATATAAACCAGATTTTGTCTGTGAGTTTTCGCCTATTCAATTCATCGATAGAATTGATGGAAAGTTTTGAAAACCATCTGATATTGCACGATTTCTCTACCGTCTACTGGCTAGGTAGACGGTTGAGTACAACTGGGCTCACTGTCCCAAGGCTAATGCGACCATGTTGTATACCCGTATTACTTATAAGATTAATGAGTATTTCGGATAGTAGTTGATTTACTTCTTTGGTAAACTGCCGAAATTTGATGGATGCTATATCACAATTGTTGTCTAGAAATAAGTGAACCATTGAAAGCTTCTCATTTGAACACCATAAGCTCCACACATTCACCCCCTACTGTCTCCCACCTAGATTGGTGAGTAGTATGAGTACTTTTATGCTTCGTTGGGATACGAATGTGCCTCTGCAAAGCGCTGAGAATCTACCTTCACCGTTTAGAGAAGCTACGACAACATATAACCCCTGATTTACTATGCATCATTTAGATGTGCGAGTCTCTATGTAGCTTGATTCGCCCAGTCGCTAACTTACTGGTGGTTGGTCAACCGGGGATTGTATCTATTAGGAAAACCAGCTCTGAACGCAACGGGACTACATAACTGTCAATGGAATAACCGTTTTCCATTGGTTGTTTTTCACTCACCCTTGACAGATGATTTGTATTCATAGTCTCACTTGTGACCGCTTGTACGCGACAGTGATCAATAGAGCAACTGGCTCGCACGTTCATTAACTTTTTCTGGATTGGCCAAGCGCACCAGACGATCAAGCGGCTATCCAGACCGGGGTTCACGGTAATAAGAAGACATTAAGGGACTGTGGTCCACAACAGTATCAGAGCTCAAGGATTTGGCACAAACCGTCAAATGAAAGTTTCATCAAAGGAAGCAGTTTTACTGCTGTGGGTTGGTGTGTTCGATGAGCGACTAAGTGAAGCAAAAAAGTCACAACAGTAACCAAGAGACTGTTGTGAACGGTTTGGATGGGATAAGCCTATTGGGGATTGTTGGAGGAAAAGGTTGGATTGAATACAAGCCTGTAGGCAGATATGAATTATTACTATTGTTCTAGAAAATTGCTCGGCAGTGGTGCCAAAGTGCTCAAAGTCATTTTTGGGTAGCAGGGGCATCGTGTTCGTAAGTTCGAAGAATCTATCGCAAGAAGGTATGTCAGCGAACTAGAACCTCTTTGGAAGAGTTTCGTAGGCTGCCTTTTTACGGAAGATGGGAAAGTGCAAGTATACCAAGTTGCAACTAAAGTGCTCTGGCCTGTTATCAATCGTGCCGTAAGTTTCTCATAAGTTTCACTACGTCGAGGCTTGTTTGGACCTGAATATACGATTAATATAACGCGACAACCGAAATCGCAACCCTTTGGCTTGGCACTTTTCGGGTTCTGCTCCAGCATTAATGGCTATCTGGATAAACTGTGGGACCCCAAAGCTCTCCAGCAAGGGGCGTAATAATCCATTCCCGAAAAGGATGAAATGACTGTTTTTTTCAGAACAACAGTCAAGGACGATTCTCCAGAGTTCCTTAATGTTTGGTTTGACAGTTGCGGTTGCTGTAGTGCGGAAGTTGTTCTGAACTGTCTGTTGGGATTTTTTAGCGTTAGAAGTACAGCAGCCGGCTTGAAATCTTGTACCATCAGGGATTGCCTGCAAACAGGAGAAAACACGACATGACATCAGTAAATGATGAGTAACGTTAATGAGTGAGACAATGAACGTGTGCAAGAGATGGACATCACATGGAAATCTATCTATCTAACTACCTACCTACCTACATATCTATCTATCTATCTATCTATCTATCTATCTATCTATCTATCTATCTATCTATCTATCTATCTATCTATCTATCTATCTATCTATCTATCTATCTATCTATCTATCTATCTATCTATCTATCTATCTATCTATCTATCTATCTATCTATCTATCTATCTATCTATCTATCTATCTATCTATCTATCTATCTATCTATCTATCTATCTATCTATCTATCTATCTATCTATCTATCTATCTATCTATCTATCTATCTATCTATCTATCTATCTATCTATCTATCTATCTATCTATCTATCTATCTATCTATCTATCTATCTATCTATCTATCTATCTATCTATCTATCTATCTATCTATCTATCTATCTATCTATCTATCTATCTATTATCTATTCTATCTATCTATCTATCTATCTATCTATCTATCTATCTATCTATCTATCTATCTATCTATCTATCTATCTATCTATCTACTATCTATCTATCTATCTATCTATCAGTCCATTCTCTGTCTTCTGTTTCGATTTATTTTCATTACGAAAGATCTTGCGATATTAAAAATATTTTGACTGAAATAGGAAAAACAGCTATTACATGGTTCCATGATAGATGTTGAGGTGTGTGCAGCTAATGTACGCCCAGGCCTAACAACTAACGGATTAACCTAATCAAATTCACCTGATGGTCCAATTATGGGAGTTGGTGCGGCACATGACGGTCATTCAAGTGTCCGGATTAAAGTTAACACTTGAAGTATAGTGTGGGGCTTTGTAACTTGACACATTTCCCGGGAGCTTTTTCAATGAAGAGAATAAACGAGAACGGAGGTGACTAATTCCGCTTTGGGATTACCATAATCTTCAATAAGAGATAACACGACGGTCAAGTGGGTGGGAGCAGTTTTTGACCGTACTGTATCACACCACACCTATGAAGAAGGCTGGGTGTGACACGTTGTGTATAAATTTGAAGTGTTCACCAGATATCTTCCACTTGTAAGCTCATCATGTACGTAAAGAGGGTGAAGATGTTAACCAGATGGGGCCTAGTCTTGGCATCCTTCATTATCTCGTTGAACTGGCAAGTCGGAGGGACGACAGAGACAGCAGAGACGAATCCTGAATGCGGTGACGGTGCATTGTCTTTCAAGCCGAGTGGGAATATCTACTCTCACAAGTCCTACATGAATGGTTCCAGCTACCAAGCGATGAAATGCTTTTGGCTGATACATCTTCCACCGGACCACGGCATGTTGGTTCAATCGGTTGAGTTTGACATCTCTCCTACATGCGAAGAAGATCATTTGGCCGCGTATGAAGAGAACCAGCAGAGATCGGCAGACAGTCCGAATGCAACTTTGGAAGAACAGTTCACCAAAGAAACGGGGAAATTTTGCGGAACAACACCGGTTCGTATAGCGACTAAGGCCAATCGTCTGTTGTTGATTTTCAGTGCAAAAAGTTCAAACGCTCACAAAGGCTTCAAACTCCGCTATTCACAAATACCCAGTGAGGATGTTGAGAAAATATCAGGTGAACGCCATCCCGATGAAACTGGATGCGACCCATCTTTCGAGTGGCGCTGTCCATCATCTTCCACACAGAACGCCTCCGTATGTGTTATGAAACAGTGGCGGTGTGATGGGTTCGATGACTGTCCCAGTGGAACAGATGAACTTGGCTGTCTTTCTGGCAAAAGAGTCCCTAGAAGACCGCAACACACTTTGTCCAAACGGTCAGCTAGTGGTGATGACGAATCGGAGGATTGGGGACGCGTTGTCAATGGTCAGCCTGCGAGCAAAGGTGCTTGGCCTTTCATCATTTCTCTCCGGATGGCTGCGAACGGTGGACACGTTTGCGGGGGAAGTCTAATCAGCCCTCGATGGGTACTGACAGCTGCGCACTGTGTTCAGCCGATGCCGAATCCTAACCAGTGGTTAGTTGATGTTGGTCGTTATTATAAGGATGCAGGTGGACCAGAGGTTCAACGTATTCGGGTTGCCAGAGTTCATATATATCCACAGTACGATCCAAAACGCATTGTCAATGATATTGCCTTACTTCAACTGGCAACGCCGGCAAAAGTCACTGGAGGTGTACGGATTGCTCCGGTTGTTCGTAATGCTCAGTTGGCGCGGTCTTTGGTTGCCAACACGCAATGCATGGTGGCCGGATGGGGTGATACTCGGAATACCGGTTCAAACTCGGTTCTGCGACAAGCCACTCTTCCCGTGATAGATTACAACCTCTGTCGTTCGTGGTATAGCACACTGACACCAGCCAGTTTCTGTGCTGGATACCAACAAGGGGGAATAGATGCTTGTCAGGGAGACAGTGGAGGACCACTTCTGTGCCACGTCGGTGGACAGACCCTGCAAGCTGGAATTGTGTCCTGGGGTAGTGATTGTGCACGTCCCCGTGCCCCAGGAGTATACACCAATGTTGCACAATTTGTGAACTGGTTTTCTAGTGTATTATGAACAATGTTTTTCCTACTTATTTATTCATGTACTTATTTGTTATACTTGGCTGTAAATGTACACTTTGTTTTCCATGTTTATAACATATTATATGTGTTCCTTACTTGTTAACCTTAATGATTTTCCCAGGGTATTTTGGCACCAGGTTCGATGAAAAGCTGAGCTTCTATCTGGTACAGTAGTGGGAGTAAAATCTGAAGTGGCACGACAGAATAATGTTTCAAAAATGGGAATCGCTTTGGAAACATTATTCTTAAACTTGCATAAACCAGTAGAACATCTAGATAAGCTGCGTTTCAATTTAAAGAAATTTATACGCCTGCCAGAATGTTAGTTGTTGAACCAACAACCGTAAGATTAGCCAGAGATAACCGACCGAAAGTAACGCTTAAGCGCATACTCCAGTCTTGCTTCCGAAGAGTTCGCGACACAACATATGTTCCCTTCTCCAGGATTTGTATTCCGAACAGACTCTAACCGTCCAATCGCAGAAGAAATGTGATTAAATGTGCCTCCGCCTGGTGGTTTACCTACGTGTGCTCTATAGGAAATTTCGATCACTGGTGCTTCCTTGCATATTAGTAAAGAGAAGAAAGATTCACGCTGCGGTTGTACGCTAGCAAATACGGACCGATCGGTTACAAGCTATTCGACACGGACAATGCACATAGTTTTTTTAAGACTGAACATTCCCAAGCGTCCCAAGCGTCATAAACTGTCATGGAAGTTCTTCGAATTTTGAACAACCGTAAACGGGCACTGCAAAGCAGTTCCATAATTTCCATTTCAGGCACACCAATCACATCGCTCAAGTGTGAACACGTTCGCCTATTCAGACGTGATAATTCAGATGCGTCCAACGTGCGTCGGTCGGCTGATGAGCTATAAGAGAGGCGAAACTCGAGTCCAGTGCTTCCCTTTGGTGTGAACTCACCGGAAAAATTACGCCAAAACAGGAACACGGCCGTTCAAACGAGAGTGGTGTGGCTATGACCAAAATTTCCATAATAATCTTCGCCTTTCGTCACATACGGGGGCGGAGCCTGCACACTGAACAATAGACTACTTGCCTAATGAGTAGTATATAGTTTTACACCAGTGGTCAGAAGACCGCAGTATTTGCGTGCTGAAACAGCATATGGTCCGTTATTCGATAAGGAATGGAGACCGAGGGAGTAGTAAAGAAAGCAATCAGATTATGTATTTCTGATACTTTCAAGCATGTCAATAGACAGTTTTTTTACTCATAACTCTCGCTCATTAACATCATAAACGAGAGATCCAGCTGGGTTCCAGGTGAGCCCCAAGAAGGGCGAAACCGGTCGTGGGCTGTCGATGGATTTTCAGCAACCTTATGAGCAGTACATTACAAATATACTCGCTCATTAACTTTGGCGGGAACATAACATGAAATTAAAGCTGACCAGAACCGAACGGAGTGTTGTCGAATCCTCGGTGTTTCCCAGATGGGGTCCAGAAGATTTCATCCTTGTACGGAATACAGAATTCTATGCGGCGTTGAAAAAACCGCTTCTAGCAGTAAATATACCGTCACTTTAGTACTGGACTGCCCAGCTGAAGTTTGCCTGCCACATTTTACTAGGCTTGTGCTGCATAATGTTCGTAAAGAACGCTCGTGGTGTTCCCATCCGCCCAAATGTGTTTATTTTAGCAGCTGTACTCCCTATGGTCAAATTAACCAGATAGAATTAGGCAATAGAGTTGCTTACTTGAAGTTCAAGTGTTCACAACGCAACCAACCAGTCATTTTGACTTATCTTCTCGAAGGACCACTGCTGCTCACCCTTCCTCTTCAAAAGGGTCATTGTGTTCTCATTGTTGTGTTGCACTTAAACAGCATTCTTTGGCGCTGTTGTGCTGTTATCGATGATGACGCCATACCCGCTGGCGAATGAGACCTTATCTGGTGCACTCACTGAATAGTGTGAGACTATTCTGCTATTAGCAATCACAACACAATTGTTAATCTTCAGGTGGCAGTAGGAAGAAAAACCCTAAGCTGGATGTTATCCTCCAGAATCCGACGCTAGGCAGTAGCTCGACTAATAACGACAGGAAGCTGAATTGATGATTGAACTAATGCCGCCCATGTTTAAAAATCACGTGTGTGTTTCTCTACGTCTCAAACTTACAGCGCACGAAGGTGACATCCGATGATTAGGATATTTGTTAAACGTGCTTTCCTGTAGATCATTCGCCTGACTTGGAAAGAAATCGCTGCTGGGAGAATGGAACGATAAATTATCTCGGGTACTCTGATGATGTGAAGTTTTATGGAACCCTGAGACAGATATTTCATCTGGGTTCTCTTAGGAAGTGACCTTTCTTGATAAAGGAGTTATCTATATATTTTTGCATCTATTTGGAACCAGTGGTATTTGTTTAGACATCGAATTTTTCATTCTGTAACTACCTCTTTCCCAGCATAGTTCACCACTGTGTCGTTTATGTTCGTTACCAAACCGCCGAATTTTCACAGATTTTACCGATCCCAGAAGTGTACTAGCCATGTGGATGAGTACGCCCACCCCTATCCCCACTCCTATCGCATCCGGGTCACACTGCAGGAGTGCTCTTCTAATGTCTAAGGCGTGAGCGGTTCGGCTGACTGAGGTCAACCTACATACGGATGAAAAGGAATGATATGATAATGAAGAAACCGTCACTTTGGTAGACGCTTCACACTTTGCATTACTTAATAAATTTAAATTCACATCACCCTCGCTTGGACGGTCCTCAGACTCTTCTGGTACACTGGTTCTTATGTCCAGGCCAAAGTGAGGAAGCACGGAACTTTAGTTTAGCACTTATTGAGGCTCAGCTTTGCACCGAAGGAGTGCCACTGCGGAACCGTAGTATACCTATAAGTGAAGAGAAAACCAAGTCAGCCATGATATGTCTCCCTAGAAACCATAGTTACGGTGCTTCGAGTTTCAAGACAAGTGTTAGGCAGGAATCCATGCGGATCCCACTATACCGCATGTCTTTAGGCGCTGCTACGGCCGAGAAGCCTGGCCCGCTCGAATTCGGGACGCTTGCCGGTCCGGCATCAAGACGAGATCTGATTGGTCAACAATCTGGACCCAACAGCCAATCATGACCCAGTATTGGCCAAGTGCCGGTTGCCAATAGCGCATCCAGAACGCGTCAGAAATTCCAGAAAGTTATAACCGCTTACACTATGTATACGAAGCGCTGTACAACTGTTCTTGATTTCGTTTTGGGCGTTAATAGACCTCGTGCACCTTTGGTGGTTGTTTTGACGTGAACGCTAGATTGGGAGGCTCAGACCGAGAACTAAGCTGAGGAAAACACCGTTACTACAATTGGCGAACGGGAACCCACGATGTCAATCGGATTTGATCAGCTCCGAGAACTATCGCGGCAGCAACAAAAGCAGTCTGAAGAATCGCAACTGAAGCTCATTGAATCACTGACTCAGAAACTGCATATCCAAACAGCAGCAGTCAGTACTGGTGAGTCTTCTGTTTACTCAACTGATGCAGCCGCGGCCTCAATTACGGAGTTCACATTTGACGCTCTTTCTGGTCACACTTTTGACTCCTGGTTCAAGCGGTAGGAAGACATGTTTAAGACTGATTTTTCCAAATTTGATGATGGATGGAAAGTCAGACTATTGCTGCGAAAACTCGGCACATCGGAGCATGAACGGTTCACAAATTTCATTCTCCACAAGCTGCCCCGCGACCTCAGCTTTGATGAAATGGTCAAAACACTGTCCCAGATATTCGGCGATCAAACATCACTGTTCAATATCCGCTACCAATGCCTTAAGTTGGCCAAGAAAGATTATGATGATTTCATCACGTTTGCCGGTGTTGTCAATCGAGAATGCGAGCGCTTCAAGCTCAGCTCAATGACGGAGAATCAGTTTAAGTGCCTCATTTTTGTATCCGGTCTCCAGTC